AGCCGCCCGCCCAGCTGCCTTTTTTTTTTTTTTTCCCCCCCCTGGAAATCCCCAGAATGTTTTGTACCGTGAAATCGGTGAAGTGCATCCCCTAGGATGAAATCCTCTAAAGTAGCACACATCCTTTATCTGTTATGCAAAAAGGCTTTATATTCTTATTTGGTGGTCTACACCAGACACCCTCTGTATCTGTTTATTCCTTGTTGGCTAAAATACCAGTTCACAAGAACTGTAAATCCTGTTCTTTGCTCAAAAATCAAATGTCAGTTTCTTCCCGGCATGTTACTCGGTCACTTTAGCATTTCAATTATGTGAATCCTTCAATTATATTCCAGTAAAAACAGTTATGTCCAATATCTTCCTGCTAATGATCATTTCCAATTTATCTCAGTTCTTACTAAATCTTCTCATAGTGTACACACAGTTAACGCTTTTGTTCTTTATATATTCTTGATATTTGCTCATCACAGAGTACCTAATTCATGAATTTCAGGTCCAAGTGTCTGTACTGGTACGACTCCCTTGACCACTTTTTCTTCAGCTGCAAGTTAAATACCTTCAGAGCATGGGTAAGTTCAAGAAATCCAGAAAACTGATTTTTTTCCCTTACCACCAAGAAAGAAATTGGATCTGCTGCAAGTCCTCTCCCACTCTGGGAGATGGTCTGATGCTACATGAAACATGTCATGCTACCTATCAGGCCAGTGACTCACTTCCTGCATCTTCCATCTTCTTTCTTCTTGCTTTTGGAGTTAAGAGAATTCATGGGGAAGGTCCTGTCCTGTTTTTGTCTCCAACTCCCTTTGGAAATCCTGGAAGCCTCAAAAAGTATGTCATCTACAGCCACGTTATTCCTGTCGGTGCTGACTACAACTGGTCTAAACAGGCTTTGTCTATTCATATAAATGTCAGTGAGTAATGGATTGAAAAAAAGATTGAAAACTGTTGATCTAAGCATAGTAATTTTAGCACTGCCTATACATACATAATTGTTTCCCTCTGTAAATGGGAAGTGGAAGAATACTGCAATGCTCCAGTTCAAACCCAGCTATTGCTGTTGCAGTCAACTGCTTGCACCCTGACAGAATGGGGGGAGCTCTGCTATCCCTCTCCTCCCTCCTTCCCAAGGACTTTCCCACCTACCTCAGCTAGCACAGTCAAAATTTTGTCTTTGTCACAAGCCTATAGAGCATTCTCAAACACTGCCAGAAAACCCCACAGCTGCAAATGTATATACACAACTGCATGATCCTAACCCTATAGTCTCTCTAGACATCTTGATTGCTACATCTTTGTATCAGGGTATCAGAACAAAGCTCAACTTTAAATTAATCTCCCACTCTAAAGGCTTTAAGAGAGCCAAATGAAATTAAAGGAGTATCAGATTTTGAATTACTAACTCAGTAGTATCACTGTGTAACCACCCATGTTTTCATACACAGAGAACAGGAGCACAATCCCATTGGTCCTGGTGCTACCATTTCCCCTTTCAATAAATCTTATCACTTCCTATAAATATAACAAAAATTGAACACAGTTTGGGTCTTTGTTTCAGCAGAGCTAGCAAGAAAGAGTGCTTCCAATTCATGTTGACTGATGCGTATACAATGATGACTCTTGTTCCTGGGTGTTCGTGCAAGCTCTGACAATCCTCCATCATAATGGTTCAGTCAAGACTGCACATACAGAGGTTTTAGTGATTTATTTCTTAGAAGGAAGGTTCATATACTGTCTTCTGTTGAAATGAAAATCCAGTAAGTTCTACCTCATGTCAAAGACTCAAAATGTTTAAATGAAAGGAGAATGGTGGACAAGTAAAAACAAACAGCAAAATAGTTACCTGATGAGTTCAAAGAAATGTGACAAAGAACTAGGCACCAGACTGCAATCTGGATTGCAAATTTTTTTTTTTATAAAGGAATACAAAGACTAAGAAATAAAAAATTTTAATGACTTTTTTTTTAAATTAAAAAAAACCCAGCCAGTTCAGTCAGTACTTACAACCCAAAATTCTCATTTTGAGGATACCATCAGGTAATTTATTAAAGGTTAAAGACTCTTTGCATGTTACTATTCCTCTAACAAGGTATATTCAAGCATAGGATATGAAAAATTGGAAAAACATTTTGCACAGTTTAGTCTTGTGAAATACTTCTCCTGGCTTGATCTTCTGTGCCTCAACCATGCCAAATATGCCCCATACCTAGGGACATCAAAGGAACATCAGCCAAGGGGAAGGGAAGGAACCTGGGAGAACACAGAATCATGCTGATCCAGTATAATGCCTGCCTAAGGGCAGTAAACATGGGCGGGGAGGGGAGGGTTGTATTCACAGCTAGGCAATGAAGAAGAAATCAAATCCATTTGGAAGACAGATTTCTTTATCTCTGTCCTAGAATTTTATACGTCATATTGTGTGCTGAGACGACACCTTCTTAGGACAATTTGTTCAGTCAGTCTCTATATTTCAAAAATGTCCTTTCTAGTTTTGAACAGTGACGGTATAAAATGTAAGAAGGACCTTTGAGATTTCCCAGTTTGCACTGCCAGCATCCCATTATTTTAATCTAAGGTGCATCTAGGGAAAAGAAACACGCGGCTCTAAGTATAAAAAGAAGATTAATACTAAGAAAGGGGGGGACCTACTGGCTCTTGATTTGGACCATGTAGGAAGCATTCTTCTCTCTCTCTTTTTTAGAGAGCGCCCTAGGAGGCCAGAACCAGATGAAGTATCGATTTGTGACTGAAGTCCTCCAATTTTTCCATGTCTGAGAGGCATCCAGCCCCTTGTCTGCTGAGGAAAAGCCAAAGTCCACAGTCCATTTCCCAGCAGGTAGCTCTGACCTCCCACAAAAGGATGTTTGAAGATGTGCCTTAGGACTCGGACACTCGATGGAGTCCTTCACCCTCCAAATCTGAAGCCAGATATTAATACAATTCCAGTGAGCTGAGAAGCAAAGGATATCAAGGAGAAAAATTGTAAGTAGATAGACTAAAAGGCCAACACAGGGGGAGCAAGCTGGTGACGTTGCCACATTCAGTGTCTGCTTTTGAACTCAATGTAAGCGTGTTTGCCTAGCAAATACTCAACCCAGGCTAGCTGGTATATGAGAAAACAGCTCAGCTACATGTAAGTAGAAACCCACAACATCAATTCTTCCCTCTAAACAAGTGCAGAGTGGGAAGATGTATGGAAAATAATTTCCAATTACTAAGTTTCACTTGCATACCACCACCTGCTGATGAAATCTTGATGTCCCAAACCCAAGAAAACCTCATTGACCATGGAGGTCGATGAGAGTTTTGTCTACAATTGTAATAGCTAGGCTCTCATTAACTTACTAATGTAATTCCATCAACAGTCAAGAAGGCAAAGCAGAAACGAACAGAAAAGCCTCGCTGTGTTGCTGGGGTTCTCACAGTTCTCTCATGCAGTCACCCAGTTTTGATTTGTGGCTCCACAAAGTGCACACCGCCACTGCTAGCAGGTAAATAGAAGCATTACTGCATTCAGGAAAGGGAACTTGAGAGACCATAAAATAAAGCTGTCTTCTCCCAAGTGCTGCAGGGATCAGAGCCTAAGAGATCAGCAAAATGCTTAAAATAAAACCAGTGACCATAAGAAAAACAAAATCCCATAGTTGTAAAGACAGTTCCCACTCTACTGAATCACAAAATATTTTATTAATTCTAACATCAATTTCATCAGTCCAGCCCACAGACACAAAACTTTAAAGGTGCTCACAAAAACATTGGATCTACATGGGTTTAGAAAGACCTACATGGAAGAACTTACATACGCATTTCCTACAGGCAGAAACCCTCCCCCCACACCCTCATCGTATAAATAGATATGCCAAAATGACATGAGCTTATGAGGACTCAAAGAAAGGGCTGTACCTTTTTTAAAGACAACATGAACAAAGGCAAATAATGGTAGAAATCTAAAACTAAATGAAACAGATGCCAAAACTTCTGGGGGAAAAAGGTTGAAATCTTCATGCTTCTATATATAAGCATACCTCCAGCTGATACAGAAAGAAACTTTCCTTGGGAGCTCAAACCCTTTTAATCAACTTTGTAATGATAATGGTCAATGACCCAATACATTGCTACGCACTACTTGTCTGATTAAGGCAGATCCCACGCACCACAGCAGAAAACATCTTGTACTGGCGCAGACTAAATCCCATGTTTTCCATAGGACTGTACGTGCTGACATGAACAACTTATCAGAAAAGGAGTTCCCAGACAAAATGCAAGTTATACCTGAAAGACAATTCTTTTTGTATTAATATCAGCTGCATATCATGTCAATTAGTTGCAAACCCATTTTTGTTTATACAATCAGTTTTTGTAAGAACCATGTAAACATTTACAATTTAATGAAAGACATAATTTCTTAGATTCATTTTCTCAAACTCTAATTTTGAAATTTGTCAAAAGAATTATTGCTAGGTCTGATCTTGCAAGTTTTATGCCTATTGAAAATCCACATAATGTTAAAGTAAGTTGTGCGGTCTGGGACACAGCTGCATAGCTAGATCCATGTGAATCTAAATAGCTTTTCCCAGAGCATCGCCTTTAAATATTGTTGCCTTATTTCTTTAAGAAAAATGAGAAAATCCCCATTTGACTCCAAAACCAGACTTAAGCATGATTAGAAATTCATCAGGAGCCATGAGCATCTAAAATTGTCCCAACATTTAACGTATAGTATTGACAAGCATGTGCAATCTGTACGCATCTACATTGTTCTTTGTGCAAAAACATGCAGACCTACTCTGCCTTCATGTGCAAATCCACACTGTCTTCAGTGAGGGTTTTGTGGTAGTCACTTAGGGCAGAATCTGGCCTACATTTACCTTCTTGGTATTTAAAAGACAAGAAGAATTATTAACTACTATCTGCTAAAAGGCCCAACCACAGAATGTTTTAGTAGAAAAATAAACATTTTAAGTTATTGGCAGATAACATTAGTGCAATTATTTTGACTGCCTTACTTTCACACAGTAGATTAAAAAAATATATTGTCACTGTGAAAAGAACCTAAGACACTTCAGAAGCAGTCATGTAGCTGCCAAATAAAGAGAAAAGAGGAACAAATTCTGTGGCATGATATAACCACCACACTTACTTTACGTAGCTCAATGCTTAGTGCCTTTTAATGCTCCAGAAACAACATCGAAGGCTTGTAAACTAATTACAGTTCTTTCCATACAAAAATAAATCACTTGTGATTTTCAAAAGGCTGACTAACTGCTGACTAGAAAGAAAACATTTTCATATTCGGCTATATCCTAGATGACATCTGGATCAACTTCTTTCTTTGAAGAACCATTTTTGGTAGTCCGAGTTGGTACACGGTCGTAATAACGGTGCTGGGTTACCATTGTAAGCGTTTGACTCTGCTTGTATGCACTTCTGGGTGTGTAGATGAAACAAAGTACCGTCCTACAAAAGACAGAAATAATTTTTGTTTTCAGGTCTTAAAAATCACAGGCATATCACTGTGTTTTAAAAGTAACAGAAGACATTCATAACAAGTAAATATCACACATATCCTTCTCATGGGGCCATGCAGTGAAGCCAAAATGCCTAACTTGAGGATCTCTGAAACTTTATCAAAAGACCCTGCTTTTAAACTTACATTAACATTGCTTTAGAGTGATTGGTGCCTGTAAAGGATGTGCTAACTTCATTCACTTTTGTTACTGCACCAATACGGGCAGAGAAAACCAAAGCCACGTACAGGCATTACCCAAATTCACCAACTTATCACGCATCTTGCAAGTAAAATGTAAATGTTGTTAGGTAAGCGTAGATGTTGGATATATTTTTTAGCAAAAAATCTTGCCCTTTTCTTCACAGGGCATATTTTTAGTATAAAAGGCAAAATAATCTAAGCATGCCCCTTGCCTGCAGATGTGTGTGGAGTTAGCTTGCTTTGCTGGAGAGCAGCACAGCTGCCTCAGAGGTGTAAGGTCTGACAAGCCCCCACAATCAGATTCCCCAGAGAACATATTTTGAGGTCTCAGGCTGTCCTATTATGGGAGTCTAAAGGAACATTTCATCTCCAGTTCATGCAGCTTACTGGAGAACTGCCCTGCTCCAAGACCCTTCCTTTGGCCCAGGTGACGTTCCCACGCGTAACCATTTCGAAAGCCTCTGATAGCCTCAAAAGAAATATGCCAACACCCTGTTTCTGAGCATAAGCCTGACTCCTCTGAAATTCTGCCCTTCCCTCATCAGGAATGTCGCCCTAATTGCGCCTCGAGCCGCAGCCACCGATGCCCAGCAGTGTGCACTTGCTCATGGGCTTGCTGACAGACTTAGCTGCTGAATGACTTTCCTGTTTCCATCTGTGATAATTCAAATTTTTGAGTGGACTAATCAATATATGCCTCACTCATTTTTGACTCAGTGGCCGTAAGAACTTCATTCTCGTGAGGCTGCTGGGAAGGCTGTTCAAATCTTTTGATTATGCTACATCTCTAAGGACAGCTTTTCCAGTGTCTGACACTTCTCCACACAAAGCAGGAGAAAAGCGGTACTGACGCCTCACCCATCACTTGCCTTGAAAGGCGGGGACTGGTGATTTTGATTTAATGCAATAGACGAGTAATCAGAGCAGAGCAGTACATTCAAGTCACACACGGGCACAAACTGATCACAAGAAGGAAAGAGGATTTAGCATCTGAACCTTAGGAATTGTTTTAAAAGTTAATGGTTAGGAATGAAGCAGAAACAGATGTATTCCAAAACTGTGTTTTCTCAATTATTTCCAGAAGTGACTGAAGTTCATTGAATATATGTAATCTTGGGGATTAATGCCTATGACCTTGAAAAAATTTGTTAAAAGTCAGCATTAAAAATGAAATGTCATTTATAACATCAGATTTTAAAATATTTTGTTTTACTCTAATATCACCGTGAGCTTCAGTCTGGACTAGATTTAGTGAATGGGCAGTAGTTGTCATATTTTTCTTTAGAATTTACTCTGCCACCTATCACTGGTGGTAGCATCTAAGCAGGAAATTTGTCAGCCATGGAGCCTGTAGAGTTTAGATGTATTATGCAGACACATTATGTAAATATACCATTTTGATATATTATGTGACCTTTTCCCTTAGCCAAATAATAACACTCCAGAACCTGACCAAGGCCATCATTTTTCATCCAATTTATTTTCTCTCAGGCACCCAGGAACTCCTTCAGAGATTAAAAACTAAACACAAGCTTTTCTAAGATCACACATTATGCTTATTAATATACTCCATACGTCCTAGTATTTCTCCCCATTGGGAGTAGGCGTTAAGGTCGAGGAAGAGAGATACAGATTTGCTGAGTCCCCACAGCCGGTAAGATGTGTCCTGGGTAGGGGTAGGGATAGAGCAGAAGGTATTTTGTGATGGTGCATCAAATTACACAACTGCGCATTACACTGCGGAAAAGCTCAGGGAGCACTTCTGGTGCTCACGGGGAGGGTCAAGAGAGATGGCTCGCAGAGGAGAAGCAGCTGCTCAAAAGCAGAGAAGAGTGTAGAGTAATGGTGGTATGTGAAGTAGCAGGGATATCTGGTGGCATAAATACTGGGAAGTCAGTCAATGAAAGGAGAGCAGAAGTAGGCCAGCCGTGAGACTGGCTGGGGAGGGGGTATATGGAGGCACCTCAGTTCTCAGAAGATGCCAGTAAGGGTGAGATGCAAGAGAGAACTGAACAGCCCACAGAAAGCACTAGATGTGGGCAGGGCAAGGAGACGCGGCCAACCTTCCCAACTCCTTTGAGGTTAAGAAGGGTGCCTTCCTTCCTCTCATCTTCCTATTCTTTATGACTGGCATACTCTTCACCTCAGCGCTGCTGCAACTCTGGTTCTATGTTCAGATATTAAAAACTAAGATAGCATATGTCTCCCAGAGATCTATGCCAATGTTGTGGCCTGCATGATGTGTAGGCAGTAAGATAAAAAGAAAAAAACTCAACAATTCTCCTTCCATGCGCTCCCCCCAAAAAAAAAACCCAAAACGAAGCAGGCACACTTACCTCTCTGAAAACGAACTTCTGGTTTTCAGGAATATTGTGGATGTTTTCTTGACACAAGTACATTGTCAAGTAGTCAGTCCCTGAATCAACTGCTGCACAGACTTCTGGCTGTCGGGTGTTGTAACGTATTTCATAATGGGATGTGTACTCAAAAAACTACAAACCCAAAAGAAGAAACAAAGGATAACAGTCATTTCATATGTACACAAGAAAGTATTTATAAGGAGAATATACTAAGATACTATAATTGAGTTCACATATTAAAGTTGTTATTGTGGAGAGAAATTCTGCCAAAAATATTCAAGAAGCTTTAACTGCTGCTGTTTGCTTACTATTTTACAGAGAATCAATCTCACCACAGCACTGCTTTACTCTGGTAGCACTTAAAATGTATGAAATGCTGACTAAATGCCCTGGAAAACAGACATTCCAGCATTAAAGAACATTTGACTGTAATATTCTACTTTCACATTCTAGATCACCCTTAAAAATAGGATGGAAACCAGTTTATAGCCTGACATTATGTTGCCTTAATTCAGTTGCCACAAAACAATGTTAGTTTTAATTAAGGAGTTGCTCACTGCATAGTTCAAATGCAGTTTGGTCAAGGTTCATTTCCAGTTACAAAGTACTCAGGATGCATGGTGATGAGCATTTTATTTTATGAACATTTTAAGATATTATTTGGAGCAAATCAGCCACAGCTGCATTTAAACGTGAACAGAACTTTATTAAAGAATATTTACTGGCTTTGCTTGTTGTACAATATTCTACAGAAGTGTTCTGAACATGGTCTAAAACATCTTGGCTTTTGTAGCAACTATGGCTGAAGACTTCCTTAAAATTTTTATATTTATCATGGACACTTGCCAATTTTTGGATTGCATTAAAGAGCGGCAGAGTTTGAGAGTTGTTTGTATTTAGCACACTTGTAAATAATTTAGATTACTATAGTGCACGGATATGTGTTTAGATCGTATTTGGATTACACTCAGTAGGGTAGAGGAGAGTTTTATACACATCAGAAAACTGCTTGTTACCAGTACTATAGCTGCATTAGTGGAAAGCAATAAAAGGATGAGAGAGAAGGAATCCTCTTTTGTTTGCTTTCACCCCTGGAGAAAGAGACTGTAAGGCTTTATGAAGGGGGCTGTACTAATTCAGAAATGTTGTATATACTTGAACTTACCACAAAACCATCCTTAATAACCACAAAGGTTCATTAACCTTGAAAGAAAAACTGGAAGTGGAGTTTTAATGTAAACAGGACTATGTGATTATAAAGTCTGCAGTCATCCATTTCCAAGTGTAAGAGCTCTGACCTGGACTACAATGATGGCAGTTGTTTCATGAGATCTCCTCTGCCCCTCCTTTTATCACAATCAGGAATTTCTCTGCCAAGGTGGCTGTTGCAGCTGTACACAGACCAATGCTGTCCCCTGTATCAGCTTGTGGAGGCAGCGATGCAAGTGACCACCCCAGAATTAACCTGGTTTTGCCATCATTCATTTGTGATGCCGCAAAGGGAAGTGAGTGTTTCGAGAAAGCGACTTCAAGTTTGAAGTCTACCTGCTGACATAACACCCAGGAGACTCTGATTTCCCCTGGAAATCTATTGGTAGAACCTGTTCCTATGATGTAGGCTGCACTGCCCTTACGACATTCTGGCTTTATGCCAAAAATGCTCATCATCAAAAAAAGTCAAACATGATAATATTGGCCCAATTTTTTTAATTATTTTTTTACTCTAACAGTCTGGCCTTCAGACTTTAGTTCCCAGGTTCAGTATGTGATTGGCACATGGAAAGCCTGCTACTTTGGGCACCACAGTGAGCTGTAAGGGCACTCATTTTAAGCCTATGACTTGTAAATAAAGAAAAAGCTTCATCCCTGCTCATTTGTGTCTGCATGGACACTTCATTGGTGTCTGCATGGCCATTTTTTCACAGCTGCCACTTTTACAAGGCCACATTTAGAGCCTTGCTCATTACTGGATTTATAAGATATAATAACTCTTTTTAGCAATTTGTATTCAGTATCAGTGAAAGCCTGCAAGCTGCTGATTGTACCAGATGCATCAAGAGTAGATTGAGCAGCTACTAGTCAGAGCACTCCTTACTACTGACATCTTTCCTGAACGACCTCTCAAGGACTTGCATCAGATTTGGGAGGAGAACGAGAAGTAAAATGGTTACTTTTAACACAGGAAGTTCCATCTGAATATGAGGAAAAACTTCTTCACTTTGAGGGTGACAAAGCACTGGAACAGGCTGCCCAGGGACGTTGTGGAGTCTCCTTCTCTGGAGATATTCCAAACCTACCAGGATGTGATCCTGTGCAACCTGCTCTAGTGGGGGGTGGGGGGGGTGGACTAGATGATCTCCAGAGGTCCCTTCCAACCCCTACCATTGTGTGATTCTGTGACTTTCTGGATAACATTAAGGATTGGGGTTATAGTAATAGCAACCAAGCACTCCTGCTTCCTTGCCCAATGAACATTATACAGTTCTTTACCCTATACTGCTTCAAATAGAATGAATACTTTAGCTTTTCAGCTTTTTCAAGTTCCAGTAATACATGAGATAAATCTCTTCCTCCTCAAAAGGTGAAGAGTGTTTTAGTGCTCTTTCCTTGTCCAGCGGGTTCTATGGGCAGAAAGGAAGCACTTTCAAACTGATCCATGGCCCAGTAACTAATAGCCTTACTGCATTTCTTTCCTTCAGAGAGCCAGTAGATTCCCTTAAGTGCTACTTGGAAACTTGATGAGCCCTTTTGCCTAGTGTCTACCACTCTGAGGCAGCCGATGGAATATACCCCAGCTGCATCAGAGCTCTGTGGTACAACGGACAGAGGCAGATTTTGGCTTCCTCACCAGACCCTGAAACACACTCTCATCCCTCTCTGTGCTTGGGGACTGCTCTTCTGCATGCAGGAAGAAGTTTGCACTTGATGGACAGAACCAGCAGCGAGGTTACCAGGTCTGATACACTTTTGCAGAAAACCCAAGGGCTTTGCTAAGCTCTTTGTTTGCCTCTCCCTATTTGCTTCAAATCTATCAGCTGAAAACGGGAATATTGGGGGAGTACTATCAGACAAAGCAGGATGCTCAGAGGTGTCTCATCCTCTTATCACGTCAAGTTGGCTTCCTGCCCTTACACGTTGGTACCCACCGTACTGCTTCCCAGCCATACCGAGAAGGGCAATGGGCTTTATTGGCATTGAATTCCAAAGCTTTTCCAAAACATCAGCAGCCTGAGGTGCAAGCACCGAGTACCCAGTGGTTTGCGTATTTTCTGCCTCTCTTCTATATACACTCAGCTCCTGTCACTGCAGTTGTATTCTCACCTGCTTGCTATAATGAACATGCTAATTTTAAACAACCCACTGTCAGCTTTCTTGCTGCTTACGCAAAAGCAATTCAAAAGGACTAAAGGGAACCCTCTCGCTTAGGCCATGGATTCAAGGCAAAATAGCAACAAATTACCAGGGATTTCAGTTTTCTGAGAGTGGTTTTACTTACTGAGACCTAAAATGGGAGCAGGTGCTGGACTTTATAAATAATGGAGAGCACAGAGCTCTCTCCTCTCAGCACAGTGCACACAGATATTCAGAGGTCACTTTAAGTGGAGAATTGCTTCCAGTGAAAAGAGCTCTTGCAGTTGTCCCCCACATAAACAGCCACCCACCACTAGCATATCATGCCAGAGGATGGGGGTGCTGGAGTGTAAGACACATATGGCTGACCAAGTTAACCTTCATTAATGTTAAATCCTATCAAGATGTTTTGGAGAATAACTTTACTGAGCCGTACTCTGGAGAATAAACTTCATTCCTTTATACCTTGTCCTTTACGAGACAGTGTGAATGCGCAGCAAGGAGTACTATTTGAGGAAGAAAAAGATGAATGGTGAAACAAACTCTGCAACTGGAGGAAGGGATAAGACAACGACTGAGATTTAAAAATGGGAGCTAGCCAGGAAAGAAGAAAGGCATGTGAAAAGGAGCAAAACGTGACCTACTGTGGGTAGTAACTGGTGGGAGGAATAAGTGAAGGGAGAGACAGAGCAAGGGTGGTAGAGAAAGACTGGGAGTCAGCATGGAAAAGAAAGTGTTAAATAGCATGAAATGGAGAAACTGGAGCTTTCTGTGACGTGCAGTGCAGGGCAGGAGACTGGAGTGAAGCTTTGTAAGCTTTGTAATGAGGGTTTGCTGCTAAAGCTGTATATAGGTAATGAGTGGAGTGAGGGGAGCAGACCAGAGAGCAGGCAGAAGAGCTTAGGGTTAGGATGGCAGATTCGCTTTCAAGGACAAAACAGAAGTTAAGGGCTGCCTGTCGTAAGCAAACATCTGTGAAACTCTGTGGTGAAGTGCCTTTCACTCCTTAGTGTTGATACTGCTAGAAGACGACCAACCTTGTCGCCATTGGTTCCATCAGCTGACAGCGGTAGATGTACATGTGGAAAATGTGACTGTTTTGGTCCTGTCACTGTCACCTGCCAACTGAGCTAAGGAATTCACACCACCAGGAGCAGCTTGTTACCTTTTAAGAACAACTGTCAAATTGGTGGTGGGACAGGGAAGAAACGGAGAGAAATGTCCTGCTGGTAGCTTTCATGGCTATTTGTGAGTCAGAAAAAGGAGGTGCAAGTTCAGCAATTCTGACTTCCATTTCCCACCTCACTTGTGCTTCTATGTCTTGTCTTATCTTAGCCTCCCTCTGTTCCCCCACCCGCAGCTCTTCCTGCTGTCCACTTTTTCTCTTGCAACTACTACCTGTCACCCCCACTCGTGCCCCCATTTGCCATCAGGTATCTCTGCTCCCACATTCAGTCCCCCTGCCACTAAAGGGATCTCCAGTGATTCTGCTTGTTTCACGCTCTCTCCTTGTAGCTCCCAACTACTCCTTCCTCTGTCACACATGCCCTGCTCCTCGCCTGTTGCCCTACCTCTGTCCCAAACTACTTCTGCCCTCTGTCACCTTGGCCCCCTTTTTTCCCTGCTTCCTGTCAGCCCTCCCATGCCTTGTGCCCATTTCACTAATATTGTTTTGCCCCCTTCCTGTGTTTGGCCTTCCCTCCTGAGGCTCTGCAATTCTCTTGTGTGATCTCATATTTTCTTTTATCGGCTTATATTGCAGTCAGGGAGTTTCTCCATTTCTCCTTCCTCCCTGGATGCCAGCAGAGGGAGCAGGAATTGCACTGCTGCTCTCAGCCTGACGCCTGCTATTGCAGCTACATGGATGCATTGCACCATCAGCAGAGACGCAATAGCATTAACATCCAGTCGTGCGCTATCTTTGCAGAAAATTCACTTAATCTTTTAATACTAGCTAAACAAAAGATAACTTTAAGAATGTCATCTCATAATAACTATTTTCCTATGAATTATATCTCTCTCTTGCTTTCACCTTTTACCCTATGCCTGACCTCAAGAGACAATATTAAAAGCATCCAGTGCGAGAATCAAAATTAGATTTAATATCATCTCACTGTGGTAACATATTCTCTAAGCCGTACTGCAATGCTTTTTGCTATACGTTTTACATTACAACCACAGCGTTAGTCAAAATGAAAATAAACCATGAATCTTACCTGATTTTGTCCCATGCCATGACATGGGTACAGTATGATCCTCTGTCCAGTGACTTGATGTTCATTTGTAGGGTTATAATCAAAACAGAAGTTTGCCATTCCTCTATTCTTCAGCTAATCAAAACAAAATAATATTTTATAGTATTACTCTAAAGTAAGGAAGGTATGTTGTAGTCACATCACACCCACCCTACTGGGCTGTGAGGTTTATATCCCAGAGCTGGTTCAAACTAATTGGAATACATCAAATGGATCCAATGGCAACATCACTCTCAGACTAATGTGAAACAAAACTGTTGGGACTGTCTTGACTTTGGGCATCAAAGCAGCCAGATATGATGGCTTCCCCTAGGAATGACACTGTGTTCCAGTGCATTTGCAAATGAAGCAGGTAGAAATTATGAAAAGCTGTGTTGAAACCCAACAAGCTAGCAACTCATGCAAAACAAAAATGTCTGCAAGTGTCTTTCCCCCACCCCAGGAGCCACTTGTTCAGTTTTCTTATGAAAAGACAACTACATACTTTTCTTGGATTCTCAAATGGGAGATGTTAGAAGGATTTGTTCTCAAAAAGACTCCAGTACCCACTTGAGCTTGAACAAGAAGTCAGATTTTAAGACCAGAAATCATGAAATTCGGTAAGATCTATCTTTGGAAAGAAACACTAGATATGATTTTAGAAGTTCTTTACTAGTGTTGCTGATCTCTGTCACAATAGTTGCATAACTTTTAGCTTAAATTTTAAAATACTAAATTACATGATTACAAAAAAATCAGGCTAATTAACAAGGATTTGCATTTAAGTATTCAGGAGGCAAAAGTAACTAAGTTAAGCAATGCCACAACAATTACTGACTACTAGTATTAACCACTTAACCAAATTTAAGATTACACAGAGCAAAACAAGTTCTGTAAACATAGGTTCAAGCTGAATGCCCCTGTTACCAAGTGTAATTATACTGCAGACAAAAAGAATAAGCAGAGTAAATCTCAGAACAGTTACTTTCCCCCGCTCTTCTCTAGCCATGATAATTGTATCCTCAGTTCCTAACGTGGAGAATGAATGGACACGAAGGGATTGCAGAAGGCTAAAGCCAACCAAGACAAACCCCACAGGACCCAAACCCACCACAGAGCAAACCACACAAGTTGGAAAATTAAATATTTGTGTTCTACATATATTTTGCTTTCCCAACTTCTACATTTATTGCTGCCTGACGTCTTCTTTCCACTGCTTTGGGCCCACTCGTGCTGAAAGGCAGCCAAGCTCTGGGCGCTCTGCAAGCCTGGGCTGCGGGCCCAAGCCAACGGTGATACGTTGGGGGGCTGGGAAGGACCACCGAGCCACCACAGCTTGGGGCCCTGGCAGGGCTGCTGGGGCTGTGAGGCTCTCCTGTCGGAGCCAAACGTAGAAGTGTAGGACTGAAGCCCTACCCTTACAGGCTTTGCCTCTTAATTCCTCGCTGAACGCGTTTCCGCTATGCATTTGGTGTGATTTTTCAGTAAAGGATAAACTAACATCCAAATATGGTGTATGATAAAATTCAACCTTAGTTTTAGTGTCCAAGTTTACCAGAAGCAAAAGAACACCCCCCCCGGGCATCCTTTCTACAGAAAACGTTGCTCAGTTTGATGGGAACACACTAGGCCGCTGCACCCCTCCCTGAGCTGTCAGAAGACGACATGTTGTTTACCTTCATAACACTAGGCAAGAATTACACTTACAAAAACAGGAAAGAAAAGTGTCTTTTACAGATGATTCTTAACACTACCATGGAACTACATAAACCAAACAATAAGCTTCTCATGTTTCTACATCAAGAATGTCAACTTAAAGTCATAACCACTTAAAAAAGGTAATCGTATCTCTAAAAGCATAAATTGGTTTCAATTGATGTCAGCGGCTGTCCTCAGGATCAGAGGGTCTCTCATCAGTATGACTTTGACTGTCTACTGGCTCCAAGGGAAGATAAACATAGCAAAGCACTTTTCTGTGGTGCCCTTCCAGACAACCCAACGCCTTTGCTACCGCTCTGTGCACGCACCCTTCGCTGTCAGTCCCCAACACGTGCTTGAGCACATGCTCCATTTTGTGGCCTGGAATTTTAAATAACCTACTTTAAAATGCCACGCACCACCAGAACTACTGTAACTCTCCTACGCACATTATACAATGACCAAATACAGACAACAAAAACTGTGTAAAAGATTACTAACTTAAGCTTCATTTCAGATGGTTTAAAACTGAGCCATTACTCCCAGGATGCTACCACGTATGTTCTCTCCTTTTTCTCTTTCATGCATAAATGCTTGTGATATGCGTGGACATATTCCTAAACATACACGGTCCATATTTCAACCTGGATCTTTAGTTTGTTTTGTCAGACATGTGTAAATGCTCTTTTACTCCCGTAATAGATATTCAAGACTTAATTTGGGGGAACAGTGCATACTAAGCTGTTAAATGACTTGATCTGAAGTGACAAATATTTGAAAATTATCAAATTTGAAAGCCTGATCACAGGACCATTTATGCAAACAAAAATAATAAAATCCAACCTCTGTTCCAAGGCAGAAAAAAGTATGAGAGAATTCATGAAAGTAGTATTTTTCTCTTGTCAAATGAGAAGTTCCTTTTACATACAACAGCTCTATCAAAACAGTAATCATCCATTCATGTTATCTTTTTTCCTATAACCACAATAAACAAGTCATGCAATAAGAACAAAATTTTCTCCGTGACTTACCTTAATTCTTTTGCAGAATGCTGCATTAGAGAAACAGAAGCAAGAAAAATGTTGATCACCTTGCCATTAAAACACATAACTCAGTTCTAAAAAGTTCTGCCCATGCAGGATTACTGGCTGCATCTTTCTACAACTTTTGCCTCCTATTGAAGCATTACAGGTGCACTCTGCTGTGCCATTTAGTTACCATTCTGCTTGAAGGCTGGGACAGGTACTAAACAGCAACTACTGAGATATTCACCTCAGACCTTCACCCCTTACTTCTTGAAGAAATTTAAATCTGTTGTTTCCTAACATCTGGACACTTGCATAAAACAACACAATACAGAGGGCATTCTGTAAGTAATTCTTTGATTATTTTTTTTTGAGATAAAATCCATTTCATATAACTGTAAGCAAAGCATCAATAACATATTTTTGACATTAAAACTTCATTACATTATTTAATAAAGACAGCCAGTCGAGCACAGCCAACCTTTCTCTTCATTCACAAAACAGATCAGAATCCTCTTTATTCCACCACAATGGCATTGCTGCTGATGCATTAATGGTATGGTCAGATGATACTGCGGGACACAGCAAGATGTGAATTTGTAGCAAGCCAACAGCTTCATGGTACTGACTAGGTGTAAGCTTTCATCTCAGAGGTAATCCAAGCAGTCACAGGGAATGATTTTACTGAATGTATGCCATTTTCATATCACCCTTTTTGGAAAAAAGATTGTGAATATCCTCAGACTTCTGTTAACTTCTTATGGTCAATGCTGAAATGGGTGTGCAATCTTGATGACTAAGACCCTCGGAAGAAATTGATGATGAATCACTGCTGATGGAATTCAGTTACTGACCCCAGCAAATCCAGATCTCGAGAGGCTCAAGAACATACAAGAACATGTCTCAAGTGATGGTGTGTTCACTTGAGATTAATATCAAACAAACACTTTAATTTCTGCAACTTTCTCTAAAAACATCTGTCTCAAGCTTTCAGAGGCTGTACACCCAATGAAGTGGTGCATATTTTCCTGTGATGGGCATCAGATCTCCAGGTCTAGTCTGCCATAACCTTGGGTACCAATTCAATCTCAAGTGGCAGCTCTACCAATTGTATTCTAATACAGTTTTAGAGGTATACCCTAGAGGAGGCTGGTTTGGAGCCTGACACCTCTGAGAACTTGTAACACCAGACATGCGATAGTCTTTTTTATTACATAACTCAAGCCACATAGCTAAGATCTCTTCTTCCGTAAGCCTGTCCATATGTATCATGCTATTTAGATAATTTGCAAAATGGTCTCTTTCATGTCACCGCAAAACAAAATTCTTCACAGTTTTAAAGGCTTAAAATCTTTCTTCCTGGGGTTTTGTTTTTTTTTTTTTTTAAGGGTTCTATCTGGTCTCAGTTAAAAGAAAATTATGACTAAGCATTTGGAAATTCACTGAAGACAAGATGGTCTTGGGGGAAGGAAGCCGCTAATAGAAAAATTCAAGTTTTTGATCTCCCAAATGATTCAGTCAGTTGCAGATGCCTTTAAGGATAGGTGGTGTAAAGAGCCATCAGCTAGATAGTCACAACGGACATCTATCAGCTTAGCTGCTTCACATTCAGCTGGAACAAAGATCAGCTAGAAACTGAAAAGAACAAAGAAAAACTTCTCATATCACAATATGGTCTTGCTGCCAAGTGACCAAACTTACAGAAAAGGAGAGATGAAATCCTGATTTTTTTGTGTCAACACCATTTTTAAAAGCAATCCAGATGCCAAGTTCAAAGCCAAACTCACTGATTGACCATGATCTTTATCCTTCAGATACGCACCCTGAATGCCAGCTATACTTAGTACACCTTAGAGGTGAGAGGAACCCTAACTATTCCCTTGCTTTGCAGCCATGCGTTTCCCCAGCCACCAGTAACACGAAGAGATCGCAGCGCTGCCTGGTTCCCCTCTCTTCACCTAGCTGCACAATGCAACAATCTCATGGTACTAATATTCAACACAAGATGGCTCAAAGTGCTCAGTGGTGCTCACACCATCCCTCCCCAGGGCAGCTAAGATCTGTCTGGGCTATCCAGGTGGGCAATCTACACAGTGCACAGACCTGGGGGTCAGGCCTTTTTAAGATTTCAAACCCGCTGAAGCACAAGTACGGCATGCTGGTAAGTGCATAGTCAAGGATGGACAAATCAGATGGTAGACCAGAAAGAGAGGCATCGGTGCTCTACACAGGAACCTAAAAGGAATTATCAGCCTTTCCAGAAACACTGACATCTTATTACTTTAAGCTACCAAGTGCCTACCAGCTTCACTCCCACCAAAAAAACCCCTAACAAACAAACAAAATAAAAATCAAAGTAAAAATGTTCTGCTCCTGTCCCACACAAAGTTCCAAAGGTGCATGGAGCCCGAGGACCAGAAACACACTGCTTGTACAGCTGCCCATGGCTTAAAAATGGCAGCTGCCTGAACCAAGCAAGGAGATAAAATCATACAACCACAGAATGGTTTGGGCTGGAAGGGACCTTTAAAAACCATCTAGACCAACCCCCCTGCCACAGGCAGGGGCATCTTCCATGAGATCAGGTTGCTCAAAGTCCCATCCAACCTGACTTTGAGCACCTGTTCCAGAGCCTTACCATCCTCATCGTAAAAAAATTCTTCCTTATATGTATATATAGATTTAAGATAGGCCATGCCTATGCCCCTACCCTGGCTGCTGAAGTCCCCTGAGAAGACGTTTAATGCACTCTCATTCAGAGCTCTAGGAGCTTCTAGTTCACCTTGCTTTGATACGCTACTGCACACAACAATACTGGGGTCTCAGATGGGAAGTCAGATTAACCTCTCCAAATTTTTATTTGATCTTCCATTAAAATAGTGAATAGGGACTTACAATGTGCTCCTACAACGATGCTGTGCAAAAGAGGGAATAGCCCTTGAAGTTGTGGCAATTTATTAAGTTGTTCATGCAGTTATTTTTCTATCTAATGCTGCTAACTCATTCAGCAAATTAAATATTTTCCAAAACTACATCTCATAATGGCCTCTGTAGCCTTAATGTTTGAAATTTTATGTTTCGAACTTCACTCCACTGTTCTAGCACTGGAACTTTTATGGAAAAATCTGACTTTAAAAAAAAATTATGAATGAGAACACTCATAATATTGATAGTACCTCTTTTCAGTACTTGTTCAGAGTACTGAGTAAAATCAGCATTGTGGCATTCCAGATTTATTGATGGTATATGATTTGGTATAAAGTGTACTAATTTTACAAGTAAGGAGATGCATTTTCCTCATTTCTAGGTCTCAGGCAGCTTATAAGAATGCAAACATAGCTCAGGCAAAAAATATTCAAAATTCTGTATGTTTAAATAAAGTTTTAGGCAGCTAACCTTTTAGACAACCAAGCTTAGTACAAACAGTAAAAAATTATGTTATGTATCAGGAGAAAAAATTTAGCACAAGTGTTTAATTGTCCGTCCACAGCACTGAGTGCTGCTCAATAATTCTTGCATTTATTTCAATAACATATGGCTGACTTACGGGCAATCTTAGCAAGATTTTTCAACTTCAGTGCGAAGATTTTCAAGGGAGGTAGAAAACCCCATATCCCTTTGCAATCTCTTTGAACAATTAAATAACCTCACACTCAGCTGAGCTGTTAACAAAGCCGATGCTTTTAAACACGGTATTTTTGTGAACCAGAAAAGCACTATACAGCTATGGCAGGAGTAAAGAACACGATCAATGATTCATTGAAGTTAGCAGATGGGACTCAATATCCACAAATCAGTTGAATCAGTAGGTGTCATTTTTGCACTGTCACTTTCTTAGAGTATAACTCTACTTTAATCACATTTTAAATTCTTCCTGCCAAAAAAAATGCTGTATTCTTATTATGCTCACAAGTAGATGACAGCATTTAAGAATTGTTTTTAGAGAAATATATAGAGCACACCTAAATTACACTGTAGGTACCTCAAGCAGCTCTGAACAAGAATTATTATTTCTAGGTATTGTCAACACCTTTCTTGAGGATGACATGTGCAGTTAAATCATGAAAGAAACTGCACACATCCCTTCCCCTCCCTAGGAGGCTGAAGCACTATTACCACCACCAGCCTAGGCTTGCTTTTGGAGGGTGAAGGATGGAGGTGGAGGGGAGGATAAGGTTACTGAAATGCTCCTGGAAGGTAAGTCTTATAATTTCTTATTTCTTCAACTGTCTCTGACCTTGTCAGTGGCGATCCAGCACAAAACAACAAAAAATGAACCCATGTTGTACCAGGGTCTGTTCAAGGTACTGGATAATGGTGGTATTACCCTTCACGCCAGCGATCACACAGAGGTACCAACTCAAGCACAAGCTCCATGACAAACGGAGCAAGGTGGCTACTCTCTCAGAGGCTCCCAAGGGCTTTGCTGCCAACTGATGTGCTTCCTATGGGAGCTCCTACAGCTCCCCGTGGGAAATACGGCTCCCTACAGGTAACAGCAGCGTTTCTACATTAGGATCTTTTTCATTAACAGGTAACAAAGCTATGAGGGAAGACTGCAGGGAGATTTGGTTCCTGTATGTTTTGTACACCCACAGTGATCAGGTTTTTTCCTCCACTGAAGGAGATTCAGCAGAGACTGAGTAACTGAAGCGCAGATGGCAGCAAGACAAGACTGTTGTGATACAGGCTGGATGCGATGCAGCAGTGTGGGAATGCAGCTTAGCTAGATCTGCAGAGTGATCGAGTTACCAGCTAAAATACTTCTAAGTCAATGTGGCATTTGTAATCAGGAAGGTATTTTATACATTTTTGCCTGGCAGAAAAGGTGCAGTCTTGTCTTCCTAATAAGACACGCAGCAGACACCTGCTGATTTTTCAGAGGAAGCAGGTATTTGCTGCATTGTATCTGCCTTCATCCCCTCCAAATGAGATTACAGTAATGTGATGTACATGGAGCTGTAGTTTCTATGTATTTGTAAGCTGCAAATAGCATAGAAAGTTGTCAACTCTTAAAAAATGGAGAAGAGGATTCTGATACTGAACCAATGAACATTGCTTGTGAAACTGTGCTGGTCTAAATTGGCCTCCAGATTAAAAATTAACATGTTGGTTTTGACATGCAGAATCCTGTATGATGTAGGAGCACACAGCACAGCTCTCCTGTCATCAAAGCATCATAGCCTTCATCAGATAAGACGTGCAAACATGTGTTTCAAAGCATCCTCTTTCCATTTTCAAGCTGACAACTAAAACCCAGAACACTTTGGTGCTCTTCTTTTTTTTGCTATGTGACATTTTAATAAATTAAGAAGTCATCCTTTGCTGCTTTAACACTCTCAAGATGTCACTCGGAAGGTGTAATTCATGGCAACATTACTTGTTCTCCTACCCCCTCACAGAACTCCTTTATAAACAGCATCCCCTAGAATAAAGATTCTGAGAGAACCCACATTTTAAAGCCTACCAACTCTAACTGAATTCTATCAAAATCCCAAACTGTTTTTGGCGTAAAAATACCTTCACACTGAGTTAGTAGGAGAGCTCAGAGAATCATGAGGAGGCCCCTTCTCAGCAGCCACGTACCATTCCAAAGAAGCCCGGTCTGTCCTCAGGTACATGGAGCTCTGGGTACACGTTCTCCAAGAACCATTTGAAGTCCTTACATTTCAGCTTCTCTCGAAGAAGTCTCCTTTCTGTGACATCCCCATATGGTTCCTGAAAGAAAAGAAAAAGAAAAAAAAACCCTATTAAAAAAAACCCCCACCAACCAGAACAGATGCTCTGTTTTAAATTATCTGTATACTTTATTAGGAACCGTATGCTAAAGTGATGAGTAGGACTTTTAGCCAGGAAAAATCCCCATGTTTGGGTGCTGGATTTGATTTCATTATCTTCCTTACATTTGTTTGCACGTAAAACTTTAAAATATTCTAGAAGGCAGTTTGTCTGAGAAAACTCCCCAAATCTGCAAGTAAGGAAGTCCTTGAATACAGACTGCTGGGACCTGAGAAGACATATTGGAAAATTAAACTTCTTTTAGCTGGATAATTGAAAACCTCAAAAGCAGTGAAGGAATCTTGAGAATTTTAGATTATTCCACCATCCGTTTGCAAATTATCTGTACAGACAGTTTTACACTTAACTGATGAAATTTGTAAAATCTGCTAATGTTTCCTTTGAACTTCATAGTTTTGGGGGGTGGGGAGTGCAAAATCTTAAAACTCCAGAGAAAAGCTTTTATTGCGGATAATCTCTGTAGATTGGAGTAAAGTTCACATCTTTTCATGTCCATCCTCAAAAATCTATCTTTATATTGCCTAGGGACTTCAGACAGTCAGGCATGAGATACCATTTGCAGCCCCCAGATTTTTACAGGTCACTTGACACGTTCTTTCATCAAACCACAAATATATTTGCATTTCTCAAAGCTGTGGAAATACCACTGAAAACACAAAGCAGATGTAAAACAGAGGCAGAGATGCCTGCTGGAATAAACGAACAGCATGACGTATTAGCTCTGAGGTCTGAACATTAATCTTGAAGCGAAACTTTATGGAACCAAATTCTGCAGCCATAGCATCAATCATTTTTCCATTATGCTATGGAACTGGATATTTGGGTTAAATGAAGTAAAAAGGTCTGAAGTCAACCACCGCAACAAGCGGTGCGGAGAGTATTACGGAAACCAGAGTGCATTGGCAGCAGCTTTGATACATGCAAAAAAACTGCTCGAGTCTCAGCTTACATCCACTGTGCTACAATAAGCCGGTATGCAAAACTTCCAATATTAACAAACAAATATCCTGTAAAATTAAAGTTCTGTCATCACAGACATCAGATGCCCAGAACTTTACAAGAAAAAATGTCAGCATTTACTGCTGCTTTCTCTTTGCACATGACAAGTAGAATCAGCCTGGCATTGCCTGTGAGCTCCCATCTTCAGATACACAAACCCCGTACTTCTCTCAAAGTCAGCCTCTAATAATAAAACCTAAATGGCTTTTATGATGTTAAAGTAAAACAATTATTACAAATGCATGGACTATAGTAATCTAATTAGCCAGTTTAATCCAAAGGAACACGAGATGGAAGCTAACCAAATTCAGCTTCCCCAGTGTCCGCCAGCATATCTTTTAAAAGCGTAATGGTTTCAAGAGCATTTTTTCCCCGGCATGTCTATTGGGGTAGGCCACCCAAATGTCGGCAGGGGGGAGCTCCCCGTCGCCCTGCCTGGTCCCTAAGCCCTGGTCCGGCACAGGCAGGGGTGGGTGCCAGCAGCCCACCGCAGGGCAGGTCTCCCCAGGCACAAAACCAGCAAACCGGCCCTTAGAAAACTTTCCATGCAAAGAGAAGTGCCTGGGGAGATTAAACACCTCCAGAAACAGGCAACAGCAGAGAGTGATTTCTTTTAGGTCTGAATTTTGGCCTTTGTGCCAGAGGTTCATATAAGCCATTTCTAGACATTGTGAGGATATTTCAGTGCTGTAGTCTTCCAGCCTACAGGCCCCTCATGATAAATCTATCCAAGCTATGAAATTGCACACTGCTTTACTGTTCTGACCTACTCAATTTTCATAGTCTTTATCTCCCGAAAAATTTTGCAAACAAATGATCTGGTATTTCTTTCTCACGGGAAATAATTTTAATTTAAAAAAAAAAACAAACAAAAAACCCCAGAACTGATACTTCAAACATTTTATTAGGAACATTTTCATCTGAGTTCCCAGGATTGATTTGAATCAATATTGCAAAGATTAAATTAATTTTTTTTTTTTTTTTAAATCAAATGTTGTGCAGCAGTAAATCAAAGAAAAAAAAACCCATTTTATCTTACATCAGTCCAAAGTTTTACAATTATCACAGGACAGGTAATTCTGCTAAAGATTATTACCATTCTGTTCACTTAAAGATCTAGTGTCCATTGAACTTTGTTGATTAGCATTTGTTAATTGTGTGTCTCTTCTGTAATTCTTTACTGACAGAATCTTGTATAAGCTGTTTCACAGAAGCACACATTTCAGGCTAGACAGCTCCTCCTTACTTGGGTCACCTGGCTTAACTTTATTCTTTCATTTATTCATTCATTCGTTTAATATTGACACAGATTTGGCCTTCTAGTCTTACTGAATTTCTGATTTTTTCCAAGGAATTAAAAATTAACTATACATACACTTATTCTGTGTTTGGGAAAAAGTTTCAGAAGAAATAAGAAATAAATGTAAAAAGCACTTCGTGTTAAATATTAGCTAAATTAATAGCTATTTCATTGAAAACAAATTCTATTGAAATTGCAAGAACAATGAACTTGAACTCACCAGGCGAGCGTGTGGGTTTCGGTGGTAATAAAGTTCTTTATATTCATCCATCCACACTTCAGCTGCACGCACACTGTTTGCTAAAGCTTTCGACCGTGAGTACGGAGCTTGTTTGGGGAAAACGTGACCTACGTGTGAGCATGGGTGGATCTCAAGACTTCCTCCACACTGCCATATCTGAACAAAGAATTGACATTGTGCATCATTAATTTGACTCTTTGCAAGCAGAAGGATACAGTAACAATAAGCCTTTGTAAGGATAATACCTTCTCAAGAATACCACGGCATACTATAAGCAACACATACAATAATTTTGTGCCTTTTTTGATGAATAAGCTGGATATAATGATGGCCTTGTGAACTCAAGAGAAAATCACCTGGAGTAACAAAGAGGTAACCCCATCTCTGGTTTTATCTGGTTTGCAATAATCCATTTCTTAGCTTCACTTTCTCCAAAGGCATGATAAGAAATGGTCCACAATATTTCTGCAGGTCTAACTGTGGTCTACAATTCCAGTTACATGGGCATTATTGGGGGGCGGGAAGAAAAAGAAAAAAAACAACCCCTTTGCCCATATTCTACTGGAAAGCTGACCGGACAAAACAGGTAAGCTTGTCATATCATTGGAGAATGATATGTTGCGTTACCACTTCTAGACTCATCATTTCAGAAGAGAGGCATGGGTGCCTGGTCATAAAAATATAACTAACCATTTTCATTAGAAAGCTGGGAAAAGAACCCCAGACTCAATGCATGAAAAGAAAAAGCAAAGTAATTCTGTAAGTAACTCATGCTGGTCCAACCAACATTAGTGAAACAATCTCTGCTACCTAAAGCGATATTCCTACTCGCTGTCAAGGAAAGTACTTGCACTTGAATGTGGAATTGGCAGAACTCTGCCCTTGTCCTCATCCTCCTGCCTCTGGCTCTCCAGGTCAGGAAATGTACGGCCCTGGAGATAAAGTCCGTAAATGACCACCAAGTGGATACACTAGCCTCAGCACTCTGTGCAAATATTTCTAATTACACACTTCTGCTTTGAAAACCACGGACATTTGGCAGCTCATCTGCACAGCCACTTTCCCACCATCCGTTCTGATCTCAAGCTAGATATAGGGAAAGGAAAGCACAGCTAAGTATTTCCCATTTAATATTGTGCATGACCACAACGTGGCAGACACCTTGTTTCTGAAGGGTGCCTGAAACAAGGTTCCTGAAAATTATTCAGATGGGAGTAGGACACGTTGCTGCACTTGAACAAACTTGAGGCTTTCACCAATGGCTCCAATGGACTTTCTGTAACAGTTTTGGTTTTTGTTTGTTTTTTTTTTAAGAACTGGCACTGCAGTGAGCTAATTCTCCTCGTGTGTTCAACCATGCATAGGTGGCAGCTCATCTTTCCTTTGTAAATGGAGGACAAGGGAAATTAGCTGAGATATGTTTCAGGGGTAGAGAGGTTTGCTCCCTGACAACCTTCTTGTCTAGCGCATGCATTTTAATTACACGTTATTCAAACTAACACAGCAGGAGTGAAAGCTATGAGGTAGCAAATAACAACAATGACAACAGATCAGTGATAGGACTTTTCCCATCTCTCTCCCTGGGACTTTTAGGGATCTTGAAAGTCACCTCAGATGAAGGCTTTAAGCATATACAAGATGGATGTTGTCTTCAGATTGTTATTTTTTTCAAGTTACTTCTGATTTCTCTCAGATTTCTTAATTTAGAAATCAATGACTGCTGTCTCCATTGATTTGGTTTTGGATAATGACATCAGACCTTCACATGTGGCACAATACTGTGCTTAATTAAAAAAACCCAAAACAAAGCATAAGCACTCTAATACATATGTTCACTTTTAAAACAAACAGTTTCCTTAAAGGTATAGGTAATTCATTATTCAACTATAGGGAGCACTGGATAATCTGTACTTGCTGGATTTAAAATTTTAATTTCTTGCTTTTCATGAGAAGTTTCTTTCTTCTTTTTTGTTGCTTTTTGGGCAAGTAGTCTATTTGTCATGTGAATAGAAAGATGAATAAAAGACATATACAATAAATCTAGAATTCTGTACTGATCTTTTTAACAATTTGCATATTTTTGCATGTAAGTTACACTACTGTCATTTTGAAAGTTGCTAAGAAAGCAGCTATCCACTTTCACTTTAAGATCTCCTTTTTTTGAGATTTGTTCCTTGCATTACTATTTCTATATCCAAGACTACTTTTTTAAAGTTGAAATTTATCATGCAAGATTTGTCAGCAAATATTAAATGCCATTAAATTTATTAAAGTTTAACAATTTCCATATTTATTATATTCCATATAAGCATTTTTTAATTAATCATTACTGTTTTGATCAGTCTGTTTTTAAACAAGATATGAGGAATGGACCATAAAGACTACAGAAGTAAAAGTGTACAGTTAAAAAGGAAGCATATTCTTCTACTCTTCCGTGCCAAAGTCTGATTTAAATGGAGTAAAACAGACTCACCATATCTCTGCAAAATTGCTGCCAGAAAGAGAATTCCACAGCAGCTGATTTTTCACTAATTAACATTATTAATTTCTCTAAAAAATACCTGTAGGTTGCTAAGCAATGCTCATTAAATTCTGCTTCCTTTATTAAAACAGTTCAAAACTTCTCTTCCTATTACAAAAAAAACCCCAAGTATATTTCAGCTAACAATTCCTCAAAAGGTTTATTTATTTTTTTGAACAGAAAACACATTTTGACCTCTATATAACATCAGGTACAAATGAAGAGCAAGGTAAAGAGAAAGAAAGCAAGAAATTCACTAGAGAAACCAAAGTTGACTACTAAATGCTAAATAAGTGACTCTGGAGAAGGTTCTCCTCTAAAACTATTTGCACCTCCTTTAACAGAGAAGCATGTTAGATTTCATGTGTATTTTGCATGCTCACATGCATGAAAATATGTTTCTTGATCTGTCTAGCTTACAGCTCATTATAAAAGTGTACTTTTTTTCTGCAGCACAAAAACAAGGTGACATTCATTTTTACTTTCATTTTCATCTTGATGCATGCAGATGACAGATGGTGGCATTACAAAAGGCTACAGTAAAAGTACAGATCTCACCTGGGGATCCCCATCCCTACCAGGGTCTTTGGACAACTTAGTTGCTGGGTCAATGAACTCTAAATAAGAAAAGCTCTATAAGCTCTACCACCTCCATTCTAACATTTTAGGTGACTCTGGAAGACCTTAAAAAAAAAAAAATACAAAAAGGATGCTACCTCCTGAACAAAGCCAAACTACAGAAAATACTCTGTTCCTGCCCCTCTCTGCTGCAATTTCGCTTGCTGGATGGTGGCTGATCCCCCCTGCATGGTGCTCAGGCACGATCTGCTGGGAGCTGAGTGGGCGCAGGGGCCTCCCCAGTCCCATGAGCCCATCCCGGCTGCTCCAACTGCAAGACAGATTTCCAGATCCGGACAGAAAGAAATAATGCCAAAAAGATCAAAAAAGAGAAGACCCCAGGCAATCGGAAGCGTGTCATCCTGGCCTGTGGGCAATGAAATTGCCAACAGAATACAGGACTTATCAGTAGATAATTTTGCCTTTTTGCACATGCATGGTTTTCTCTCATGTCTTGATGAAGAGTTGAAAGGCAAACCGCAGGCATATCAAGCAGCAGTCCCCAGAAACAACCTTACATTGCAGTGCTGCTAGCAGGACCAAGAGCAGAGAGCAGGGCTAGGAGGGAAAGCTGCAACTAGGTTCCCCTCGCTCCATGTACAGGAGCGGGAAGATGAAAGGTACGTTTTGCATCCCTCAGAAAGAGGAGTTTCAATGTCCACTATGCCCACGAAGTGAAATTTTATCCAGCCAAATAGCATTAAGCAATTCGAAATCAAGGCACGTTGACTCGGATCCTGCCTTCAGCACGCAGCCTCCATCTCTCTTAGTCATCGTGCTTTTAGCCAAAGCCTTGTCCTTGCTGCACCTCTCAGAACCACAGAGAATTTCTTCAGTTTAGAATAATCAAAGTACGAGAAAGAGGTAGGTTGAGGACAAGTCCTTTCATGTCATCAGGAAAGGCCAGTGTTTTCAGAGACAAGAAGAGCAATTAATTAATTTACAGTGTTTTTCAGTATCCCTGTTCCTAATTTTCAGGTCTAGCAGGTCTAGAAACCACACAGACAACAGAATTAACACTGATTTATCCCTCTTGACCTTCTTCAGAACTGTGGGCAGCCAGAAGAACAGTTAAGCAACATCATAGCGCTCTGCTCTCTTCCACAAAAACCCTCACCACGGGAAGCACGAGTACAAGGGCCTGAAATCAAATAGAGGAAAGCATGGCATGTTGTGCACAATTTCGATCCAAACGCCTAGGTTCTACTGGCAATCTGCACTAGTAAAATTAACACACCCAGGCACGTTCGCTGGCCATTGCACTGTCCGTCTTGCAAAACCATTGGCCTCCCAGAAGAGAGCTGCTTGATCCACCTGCAGGGACCCCACACCAGCCTCTCCATCCACTTCATCATTTAAGCACCTCTCTTACCCGCCACGAGCCACATCCCCGCTCTCAGCCTGGTGTGTGACACACTGCGTACCTGCAGCCCTAACTCCTACTGGTGTGGGGACAACTATTTTGATGCCACCAAATCTGCGGCAGCCAGGGTCACAGAAGACTGCAGACATTTCAACAACGTGAAGTGGATCCTGTAATGTCCAGTTCTGTCAACTGTGGCTGTTGTTTCCAAGCTTGCTGCTTTGGGAGAGGAGCAAATTTCTGCTAAGAGGCAGAGCATATAGTACTACTTTCAAAAGCAGCATCCTCTCTACCTCACGGGTGCTCAGTCTGGGTGCATGTGCACTAGCAGACACAAACAAGTGCCTACAAGAGTGAGTCTTGCTCAGGAGATGCACATACCCAATGTGCTTGCTACTGTTATGCTACGGTTATGGGAGATAGCGAGTGTCATGCTCTCTGATGCAGCTTGCTGCTAAACTGGCAATCTCCCGTCTCTGCTTATTTGTCTGCTACAATACATCATAACTAAGAAAGTAAGAGACACAGCAAGCCCCAGGTCAGCAAGCATCTGTACCCAAAAATGCATGACTCCCTCATTGTCATCACCCCTTCCAATCCCTCAGGAAGCAAGAAAAACAATTTTGCCTTGCCAGAGTTAACTGGGGATGGTGTCCACCACCAGGCTGCTTTCCTGCTTAGCCTACCTGGGGTTGTGACTGATAACGAGCACAATCATTTCTTTGGGCCCCCAAGAACGAACCCAATCTATTGCTACCCCAGCTCCCTAAGCAGCCTCTCAAAAGGAGGCATAAAAATAATTTAATGAGGAGCTATTTCATACTTCCTGACCCCATAACTGAGCATTTATCTCACAGAAAAGAAATCCCTTCCAGTGGAAAGAGGAGATCACACAGCAACATGGGCTACACCGCAACTGGAGACAGTTGGGAGACTCCTGCTTCAGAAGCTCACAGAGCTGATGGACGTGGGTTATCTTCTTTGAGTTTCAGGTGGAGGCCTGCTGAATTTACTGACCAAGACAAGTAGGCCGTGTGTTTGGACTTAAGTGCCAGAAATTTTTCCCTGTGTGAGCAAGGAGGTGGTCATGAATTCAGATCAAACAGCAATCCCAGCTGAGAAATCCCCCTCCAGAGAAAATCCATGTCAACTCTAGGTCTGTGTTTATTATCCTCCCTGATCCTTCTCTTTCCTTATTTTTGTGTCCTCTTTGCTAGGATTTCTGCACTACTGGCAGCAGAAGACAGGAACAGCAGCCAGGAAGACTCCATGCTTCTCTGGTTAACAGGCAGACATCAAGTGAGACAGTCCACTGATGCCTCCTTTCTCGAGAAAGTGGTTTTGTAACATTAAAATATGATTTATCCCCGAAATCTGCTGTCATCTGGTAAAAAACAAAACAAAAGGCATCAACCCTCCTGCCCAATAATCCAGTGACCCACAGAAATGCAAACATGACCATAAAACATACCTGATGATGAGCAGCAAAACGAAGGGAAATCCAGGATACTAAGTTGTGAACCTCCTGCAAGCCAAAAATGGCCCTGCACTGTCGCTCTTACACCAGCGCTGGATTGCTTCACCAAGCTAAGCATGACACAGGGCAAA